TGTTGAAGCTTTGGTGTGCATCAAGGATTGGGACCGTTCCGACCAACGCTTACACGATACAATCTCACTGGCAAACCAAGAATGGATCGACGAATTTAATAGATTAACTTTTAATTTTCAAGACGATCATCCTTCTACTTCAAATTAAATTTTATTATTCTAATCTGTAAATATTTATTTACTTTGTAATTTCTAATTTCTATAGTGTTTATTGTAATTTGTAATATTGTATAGACTTTGTAAGTTCGTTAAATTTGTAATTCATCCCACAATGATTGCACTCTTTTTTCCTTACCAAGTTTTTATCCCAATTGGGTTTTTCTTGGTAAGGTTTTTAACGAGGCAATCGTGAATTACAAATTTAAAAATCAATGAAGAAGTAATTTTTTTTTATATAGTTCGTGTGTTCATTTCATCATTTCATATTTCAAATTGTAATATACACAATTACACATTGTAATTATACAAATACTTATTTCTACAACATAAAAATATAATATAAAAAAAAATCCCAGGCAGCGAGTCGGGCATCGGGCAGCCCGACCGGGCACGGGCAGGCATCCTCTGCCCGAAGCTCGTCCATGGGCAATGTTCTGGTCGGGTCGGGCAGCCCGAATTTTCAGGCATTTCGGGTTCAGTCATCGGGCAAAAATTTTGACTTTTCGGTGGTCACGGGCGGCCCGTCTAAAGTTTCAGCACTACTCACAGCTCTCTCTCCCCCGACAATTACTTAGCCGTCGCAACTCCATGACTGTCGCCGCAGACACACCGTCACAGCCCCACCACCTCAGACCTGTCGTCGCAACACCACCACCTCAGACCTGCCGTTGCAGCCCCACCACCCCAGACCTGCCGTCGCAGCCCCACCACAGCCGTCACAGATCCCCTATCACTGGCTGCCCCCCCCTCCACCATAATCGCTGCCCCACCCATTACGCTGTGCGAACAACCCTGTCCAGCCACGATTTGTGAAGTCCACCACCAGTCGGACCCTAAGCTCGCCGCTAGTCGCCGCCCTTCCAGATCTCATGCACTGTTCAGATTGGATTAGAGAGCTTTAGCATGTTTTTCAAAAAGGAGGGAAAATACCCCAAACCCAAAACGTTAATGGGTCATGAGAAGAGAGAGATGTGGCTTGTGTTGATTTTGGGTGTTTCTAGATTCAGAGGTCTCTGTAGTTTCAAAGGCAGTGGGGGTGATGATCAGCAAAAAGAGAGGCAGTGGTGGGGATGGGTCAGTGGTGGTGGTGTTAGATCTCGTTTGGTTTCTAGATTTAAAATCAGAATTATT